CCCCGGTCTTTCTGTGACCCCGAGGGTCCTGAGACCACACTGTCCCGCGAGGGTTCCACCCCCAGCTTAGCCACTGGAGCGATGTCCCTCAGTGGAGCAGACTTCTAAAAGTTCCGATTTTGTGCTCCGTGGCTCTATCACTTTCCAGAAGCGGCGGAGGCCCCCTCCACCACCGTCTATCCTCCTGACTATAACCTCGGATTCACTTCTCCGCACATCCTACCTTCCAGAAAGTGGTCGGTTTTCTGTTCAGAGAGTTGTTGCTACTCTCTTCTTCGGTCTCCTGTTGAGTTCGTAGGTGTTCAGAATGGTTTGATCCCTATTCAGCTGAATTCCTGAGACCAGATGAAATCCAGGTCTCCTACTCCTCCGCCATCCTGGCCAGTTTGAAGAATTTCTCTTTATCTTCGGTTTTGAGAAATGTAGGCATGATGGGTCCAGGTGCACTCCCTGAATCTCCCATCCTTGACCGGTGGTTCCCCCAAAACTTGTGCTTTTCCTGGTGAATGGCAGGAATACAAAAAACCTAGTCAACCATGTAAGCCTATTTCAGGCCTTTGCTTGCATGATACTCGCTAACATCCATTGGCCAAAGCATGACAGGTGGTCATCCCCAAGTCAAGGTGACCAACTCCATCTATCAGGAGGCCATGGCAAGGTTAGGCATAAGGATTATGATCAAAGGATATACCTGTACTGGAAGAAGTTCAGTACTTCAGCTGTAAGCTTGGATGTTCCTAGCAGGAGACACTTCATGAAATATAGTAAAAAGATTATTATAATTGGTAAGATTTTCCCGTTGAATATTTTCCCCTCTGTGGTTTACACATCTAGTCTCCTTTCTTGGGAGCACATTCTAGTTCACCTCTTCTAGACTTTTAACGGTGAAACAGTACTTAAGCTCGAGCTTCCAAAAGCTTAAGAATGTTGAGACCATATCAGAGCTTCTCTAATGGGTAGAAGGAATGAGAGATTATTTTCTTTTATAACTTTAAGAGATTACATGTCACTGTGTGTTTCAACGTGTAATGATGGAATTACCGTTTTACAAAGGAATATTACATCAACAGGCAACTCCTTTTTTGTTCTTTCTGTAGTTCTATCAAACTACTCTTTGATATGAGTGCCTTAAAGGGTAACTCTCAAGAATTCAGGGTGCAAAACCAAGTAGAAATTGAGTCTGAAGAAGCCAACAGCACATTTTGAAGGCAGCCAAATATACAGACATTTGAGGACAGTGGTTTTGCACAGATATACTTCATTACCAATAGTAATTAATAATGATTTAGTTTCCATTTCCATTTAGAGTATCTCCTATATAGTATATACAGTGGATTCATTGTCTTTACTACTCACAGTAATCTTACTAGGTAGTATCGCTTGCATTTTATGCATGAAGAAATGGAGGCTCAAAGAAGCTGAACTAATTGCCCAGAGAGAGACAGCTAGCAAGTGGCAAAACTGGGTGCAAACCCAGATCCATCACAAAGTCTAAGCATAGCTCTGTATAGTCTAATGCCTCTTTTCATCCTTGATGTCTAAATTTCCATCCAAGCTTCCTTAAGGGGATCCATTATGCTCATGGAGGATTAATGGACATATTTGGATGGGTTCACATTTTATGAAGCATTTACAGACTCTCAAGAATTCCTCTGTAGATCCTCAGGGTACCCGTTTGAGAGATGGGGGACCGGGTCTTAGCAGCAGCCTAGAAAAGCACCAGAGTCAAAGGCATCCTGCTGTTGCAGTCCTGCCTTGGCTGCATTGCACCTGAGGGACCCAGGACAACAGCTAAGCTCATTCTGCCCATTCTCCCCATCCCCAGATGGAGAAATGATGCCACTACTCCTTGAGTTTTGTAACAATTAGACGGTGCAGGTGAAATGAATGAAGTTTGAAGAATCTAGTAAGGTAATTCTTTGAAGGCAATAACAGTGTTATGGGGTTGTCATCATTAGACTGCAGCAAAGTGCCCTAACCCGAGTTAATATTTATATGTATTAAGTTCTCAGAACAGTGCCTAGCACATTTGAAGTGAATATAGGTGTTCGCAGAATTTTAAAAATATAACTTGTGTCAATATAAATGTTGTTGAAAAATAGACTGAGGCAGATTTTGCATATGGGCCAAAGGAATCAGTTGATAGCTTTGTGACTGTTATAGAAAGAAGGATCTCAGGAGAGCATTATCCTTGGGAAATTTTAAAAGTGTATAAGTATATATATTTGTATGCTGCAAAATAGATAGCTCAGGGGGCGCCTGGGTGGCTCAGTCATTAAGCAACTGCCTTCAGCTCAGGTCACGATCCCAGGGTCCTGGGATCGAGCCCCACATCGGGCTCCCTGCTCTGCGGGAAGCCTGCTTCTCCCTCTCCCACTCCCCTGCTGGTGTTCCCTCTCTCGCTGTGTCTCTCTCTGTCAAATAAATAAATAAATAAATCTTTAAAAAAAATAGCTCAAAACCAATAACATGATACTGAAGCAGATTTCCTAGTACAGTGAATGTGGATATACTAAATAAAGTATTATCTTTTATGCCCCAAAGCTTTACATATGGTTTTAAATTTTATCTCTATGATCAATATTATTTAAAAGAACTCTTGTTCTTTAAAATCTTTCTCTACAGGGCGCCTGGGTGGCTCAGTTGGTTAAGTGTCTGACTCTTGATTTCAGCTCAGATCATGATCTTAGTTAGGGTCGTGAGATTGAGCACCGTGTCGGGCTCCTCACTCAGCGCACAGTCTGCTTGGGATTCTCTCTCTCCCTCTGCCCCTCCCCACACTTGCACATGCACATGTGCATGCTCGCTCTCATAAGTAAATAAGTAAGTAAGTAAGTAAATAAATAAATAAATAAATAAAACCTTTCTCTGAACATCCCTATTCTTATATATGCTTTATCCGTGGCTGTGACCTTTCAATTTCTAGGCAACAGATGGTCAAAATTGAAGCTTATATCAAGCATGAAACACATGTACTTTGATTCTGTGAAAACTGATCCAGTTCTATTCACTGTGATAGCTTATGGAGACTTTATTTCAGCTCTGACCCTTGCTATGTAACTTGAGCCAGGATTAGGCGAACTTCAAGCCCATGATACTTTTTTGTATCATAAATGAACAAATATTACGGTTTTCCTATTATCATAGCAGGACTCTTATCCTAAGTCTTATTTGTCTTACCTGTTTCTAATCCAAGAATGTTATTTCTCAGTAAACGCTGGGGGACAGGGTTCTCTCCCCGCCTCTTTCCCTTTCACTCTCCCTCCGTCATATGCACAGTTGAGACACCAGCATTATGGATGAAGAATGGATCATACGAAAACTAGATCAAGGGATGGGGTCCCTCTGGGAGATGAGGCAGGTCGATGAAGTCACAGTAGACAGTGTCCCTTCCTTTTTACATGCTAGCTTTGCAGGGGACATCACAACAGTGGGCTTCAGTAATGGGTCCAAGCCTTGGCCCATTTTATCCATCTGGTCATCTATAATTCTTGACCTGAGATTTCTGAACTAGCAGAGGGGAATCCTTGGATCTTGGTGGCATCAGGATATACCTCTCAGACATTCTCTTCGTTGGCTGGATTCGGAGCTGGACAAAGGAGAGGAACTAAAAGCCTGGGTCACATTCCTGGGTGTCTTAGATGATAGCTGGCCAGAGTTGGTTATTTCCCCCTTTGCCACATTTAGCTGGTGACTCTGGGAGCTTATGGATGAGCCACCTAACTGGTAAACTGTCTGAGCCTGTTTTGGGGATATCCAGTGGCGTTGAGGATCATACATGGATTATATCATAAAGTCTCATACTTTGTTTTATTTTAACAGAACGAAGCCCCTGAAGTGAAGAAAGAGGAGACATTGTTGGATCTGGACTTCGACCCTTTCAAGCCTGAGGTGGCACCTGCAGGTTCTGCCGGAGTGACCCACTCTCCCATGTCACAGGTAGCCAGGGGCAGTTCTGATGTTTGGGGATGACATTTCATAAACTTGAATAAACTCTATGATGCAGCAGATGTCTGTCAGGGACCCCCGTCCATTTCAAGTGACTATTCACTTTTCTTTGGGGTTGACAAACATTCCCCAGTGGGAAGGAAGAGTAGAAAGAGGATTGTCCATAGCTCTCATTCCAAAGCTCCCCCCCACCATTAGCTCTCTCTATCCATAAAGCTGGGATAGCCATGCATTCCGGCTTGTCCAGGAATCCTCCGTTTCAGAGTAATTGTCATTATTAGTATTAGTTTGCACTCAGAGTGTTCAGCTTCAGACAGTACATTTTCTGGCTACTCTAAATGAAGCTCTTTCTTTGGCCCTGGGCTTAATCTTCTTACTGGTTTCTCTACTTTCCTTCTTCACGTTTTGCATATTAAAGCATGTTAGAAATAACCTTGAAATTATGCTCCAACAGAAATGTTTTCCAGTCTTGGTAGTTTTGAACTCGACGACCTTGTTCTCCTCCACATTGCAGAAGCTTCCTTTATGTGATCTTGACTATGGCCAGAGTTGGCCTTGCTTATCCAGCTTGTCCTTACTCATCACTTCCTCACCCTCAACATTTCCTCACTCCAATAGTGATCGCACAGTGTTCTCCATCAGAGGGGTCCTGGAGGTGGGCACTGTAATGACTTCTGGATGATTCCTCTGCAGTAGACTTCCTTTGCAATTGTCTATGCTCACAAAAGGAAGTTAACTCAAAATTTGGCCAAACAGAAATTGTTTATATCCGTATTTTTAATGTGCTTGGGAGCTCACATTTGAATTTGGGCAAATCCAGAGGTGTTAGAATATACTTCAAATTAATTAATGGAGGTGTATTATAAAACTGAAGTTGAGAATTGAAACCTCACTCAATTTTCTGGTCTTGAAGTCTTGTGATACCTTACAGTAAACCACTATCAGCTCAATATAAACCTTGATAAATAAAGCTTCTAATCCATGCTTTCTTCCAGAATGTGATTGGGTTTTCTAAAGGCCTCCCTGTTGTAATTTGGGAACAATAAATATCTGAGATGTCAATAAAGCAGGTAATTAATAAGCAGATCAGATACCAGCCTTAAAGATACTTGCAAAAAATGGGTCTCTTGGATAAATGTTTGGGAAAGTTCTCTTAACTCTCTTTTAAAAAGAGAGTCACGATATGCATCGGAATATTAAAGGCTCCAAGAAGTTCTGCAACTAAAAGAAAAAACTCTGTAGACTTTTTTAACTTAGAGTTTCCCAAATTTGACCACAGAAATCTGTTTTAATGAAAGTTTCTTAATAGTCATTGGAATGTTCTCTAAGACATACTTTGGGAAATGCTAACATAGTAATTGTCAGCAAGTTTTGAGGGTTCTGCCTTGGTGGCCCAGGAAAGCAGGACATCTCATTCAGAACACTTCCCCATCAGAGCTTCCTCATTGTGCAGAATTCATGGGCCTTCCTCTGCCTCGCTCTCCAGCATTCACTGCTCTAGTGACAGAAGGCAGGTCTCTGCAGTGGGTGCTGTCGTGGTCAGTGGGTGATATGCCACAGCATTTCTGTCTGTGAGTCTGAATCGAGAGAGAAACCTCTTCTATATCAATTCATGATTAAATAAATCCACAGATCATGGAACTTTGTGTAGATTTAGAACAAAGATTCTTTCAGAATTAAAAAAAAAAATGACCTCAGTTAAGCTTCAAAAGTCTTCGGAAGAAAATGCATCACTGCAGTTAGGAAAAGCCACATGTGCCCTGCGTTCTCCCTCAGGCGGGGTCATCAACCATCCCCCTCCGGTAGCTCTAATTGAGTCACTTCATGGCAGAGTCATCCTGTGAGCCAGCTCTAATCACATCTCCTTTTCACCAAGGGCAGTCTTAGGCTGTGATAGCAAAAACAACAAAGCCATCAGGTTCTACTGGCCTTCCTTCCCCTTCGCTCAGAATGATATCCCTTACCCATCACCTGACCCCATGTTTTAAATGGATGTTCTTGCTGCTAGCGGAACACCTCACCTGTGATCTCCACAGTGTCCACACATCATTTCATGATCCTGAGGACTGATAAACATGCCGTTTCACATTGCTGCCTTCCTTTGGAGAAGATACCAGTGCTGTCTGCATTATGCAGGGATATGGAGTAGCTTTTAGGGGCTGTGATTCTTAAGGGGCCGGGAAGCAGGAAAATCCAAACCATGTGAATAATCAGAACGTGCATATTAGTTGCAGAAGGAGTCCACATACAAATAACTGTGGTTTCCCATGCAGCTGTTCTGCTCTCCTTTCTTAGTCATTCGACAGGTGGGTGCTAACCCAGAGACCAGCCAGGCTGCACAGAAATGCTGGGTGGCTGGGGCTGGACAGTCAGAGCAGGCCCAGACCAGGGGGGTGGGCTCACTCAGAACCACAGGGCCCATGTTCTGTAGTATAGAATCCTAATGAGACGTCTGTGACCCCATCTGGAAACTCCCATATTCTTAAATGGGAGTACCAGGCTTTCTAATTTGCCGCTCGTTTAGTGATTCAAAACAAGTTCATAAACAGATCTGTTCTAGTCACAAAGACAAAGGCAGAAAAGGATGTGGCCTTGGCAGCAATTCTCAGTCACAAAGGAAATGAGAAAGAGAGGTCTCCTTCACTTTCCCAAACACACAGTGGAAGTCACTTGAACCATCTGGTTTCATTCCCTGGGATCAATGGGCTTGATAATTAAAATGCCAGTAGTAAGTCTAATTCATCCATATGTCTTAGGGGGCACCCTGCTAATTTGCATGATGATCTGTTAGTTGAGCTGTGTTATCATCAAATTCAACATATTGAAGAACTCTTTTTCTGGGGTTCATGTACCATCAAACTGGTCATAATGCAACCTCTTGAATATGGTGGGGGGAGGGGAAGAAGTGGCATTAGCAATGATTCGGACTGCATGTCCTCAAAGATGTGAGAAACTCTAATATCGGGACACGTTGTACTTCATTTTAAGTGTGTGTGTGTGTGTGTGTGTGTACTTGCATGCTCTAAAGTACACCCATTCATCATGTTTTCAGATACAGCTTTCTACTTTTTATAGTGAAAAGCAGATCGACTGGTCCTCTACTGTCTAGTATGGTAGCCACAAGCCACATTTGGCTATTCAAATTCAAATTAAATAAAATTATGTAAAACTTAAGATTTGGTTACTTTACCCTAGCACATTTCAAGTGCTCAGTAGATACATGTGACTAGTGGCTGCCATATCGGATGGCACAGATATGGAGCTTTGTCATCACCAAAGAAATTTCTGTTGAACAGTGCTGTACTAAGTGTTTCAAAATGTTTTACTTCAAGAACTTTTGTCACCTCAGTATTTTTTACATGCTTGGGAGATGTATACTAACCATATTTTTATTTGTGTGTTTGCTTTCAGACATTGCCCTGGGACCTATGGACGGTAAGAGTGCTAAAAGTTTGTATTTTGATGTATCTGGATCCCTAGAAATTTGGAAACTCTGTTATATTTTAATTCACCTGTAGTGGGAAGAAGACCTAGACATTTTTAATGACAGTGTAGTCCCCTAGAACAATTATCAGCTCCCTGATGGTTCCAAGCATTACCAGCACCTGGAAACAATGGTGAGGAAAATAGTGTCAGTGTGCCAGACGCCTGGATAAGCAAGAATTTGGTGTTATGCCCCTTTATGCTTCCTGTGGTTATTGGTGGCTACTGAAATGTTGTAGTGAAGGGCAGGCACATTTTTGGTTGCTTTTAAACAAAACAAACATGGATGAGAAAATGTAAGGGGCAGGCTACTCTGCCCAGGGAACCTCTTTCTTACTATTATTTCCAATGATAATGAAGCTTCATCAATAAGAATTTGAGCTTTAGAGCCAGACAGCCCTGGATTTGAGTCCAGACTCTACCTCTTACAACAATATGATTTTGAGCAATTTATGAACTTCTTTCAGTCTCTGCATTTCTCATCCGTAAAATAAGGGTAATGATGCCTACCGCAGAGGGTTGTGTGAGGATGAAGTAGATAATATTTGTAGAATGCTTAGCCCCATGTCTGATACATATCAATAAAAGGTAGCTGTTACTACTAATGGTGTGTATTCAGCTAATCTGACGTGTAAGGATGGGCACTTCCAGCAGTTAGAGTTGGGAAAAAGACACGAACAGAGCTTTATGGTGCAGCATGTGTGCTGTGGGATTTGGAGGGTGGCCACACCCATGTGGAGCTTCACACCCTTCAGGGGCAGGGCATTTGTCTGCCCTGTCTTGGAAAAGCTCTGGTCACATGGTCTTCAGAACTCAGCTATTGAATTTTGTGCTGTCTTTTTAGTGAGACAGCAACAGGAAAGTTAGCTAGATCTAGCTATTCATGGGCCTGGTCTTCTGAAGTGACACTGCTATTCTTTTATCTTAAAACAGAAAGATGACTGCCCCCTTCCCTTCCACAGGAGTGGGTTTATACTGCACTAATACTTAGGATGCTTGAAGCATCATGGAAGGCTCTCGAGAGAAGAGCTAAAAGATGTTAATTGAAAGCTGGCTTTGCTTGTATAATCACAAAAAGGGATACATGGACTGACGTTCAGGATATTTGAATTCTAGCCACAACTCTATGTTAATGGTCTTGACGACCAAGAACACAGTGCTGATGTTTTATTATTCCAGTATTTCATATCTTTAGTTGGAGTCATAATAACATTTTTCCTTCCGTAGCTGGGAAGGGTATGGTGAAGATGAAGGTATCATCTAGAAGGATCATGGATTATTTCAGAGGACAAACCTGCTAAGAATAGTAGCAGTGACAAAATTGCAAAACAATAGCTCCCTGGACACAATTGCTGGCATTCCTTGATCCTCTCAGTCCACCAGGGTTGTTTGTTTGTGTGCAGACAAGGCTTCTAGGCAAGGGGGAGAACGTGAGGAGAATCGTCCAGTCAGAGTGGTTAGTATCAGATCATCCTCCATATAAACACTACCTCAGAGGAAGAAGCAAGTGTGGGGTGAGTTTGGGGAAAGATTTATTCTGATACTGTGTCAGAGCATATAATACTGTGTACTTTTGTAGCTGCTAGGGTTTGGTCTTACTCTGATGTTCTCAGGTTTGCTTTTTTATTTGAAACTTTGTGTTTCAGAGTCTGCTAAAGCAGAAGTCTTGTAATAGCCCTGAAACATCCTTGTTGACTAGAAAATGAGAAAGGCTTTCTTCATGTTTCAACTGTGTAGTCATAAACGGTATCGAAACAAAACTCATTCCTATCACAAAACAAGTTGTAAAATTTAATCTCAAACCAGTAAAAGCTACAGCTTTCAGGAGAATGTTGACTCTGGACAGCATGGGATTTTAATGTGCTAGGGAATTTACTTCTTTTGCCCTGTTGTTGTTGTTGTTATTATTATTATTATTGATTATCATTTTTTTTTACTCATACAGACAAGCACTGATTTGGTACAGCCGGTAGGTAAATATCCAGAACATTCTGGATTTTTAAAAAATATTTTATGTGCGCTATGTACATGGATATTATGTAGAATGAGCTTTTTTTTCTCATGGCATTGCTAGTCGCAGATTTAACCTCAAGCCATTTAATTTAAATGCTCTCTAGCTTTGTTTAACTGGTGTCACCCTACTGAAGAGCTTTGTGTTTCTCATCATATCTTACCATGATCTGTTTGATCTTCTGTTTTTTTTCTTTGCTATTCTGCATACTCTAAAGACTGACTCTTCAAAAAATCTTTCCCTGTGTAACCTGATCATGGAGGAAACTCCAGAGAGTGGGTTGGCCGAAGAAATTCAAAGATCTCAGATTGACCTAGGTGCTTTTATTTGGGGCCCTGATGCTAGTACAGAGAGTATCAGCCAGGAAATTACCCAAGGTGGGTCTCAGGAAGACTCTTCATGTCTCTCTGAAGCAGAGCAAGACATTGGATTATCCATTGGAATTCCTTCTTCTGCTGACTGGCACACTGTAGCTGAACAGGGTGAACATGTCGTGGGGCCAGCCCCTCCGTGTGGAAATGAACAGCTGTACCCAAAGCCTGTGCCTGAGGCTGAATTTGCCACAGCAGCTGGTACGGAGATGGAGCAGCCTCATGACTTACCTGCCTCAGAGATGGCAGCCACAGAAACTGGTAGCCTGATCAAAGAAAGTCAAGAAGGTGTTAAACAGTCAGAAGAAGAGGAAGAGAAAGAGAAGATAGAAGATTCTATGTGGGCAGGTGTGGAGACATGTGAAAAGGTAGACACTGGAGCTATTGATATCAAGGCACTAGAAGGTACAGAGGAATTTGAAGAGAAACCGTGTGAATGTAGAGGAGACAGGCTAGTAGATCTTCTTAAGAAAATAGGAAAGCAAGACCAGGAGACCTTAGCAGTCAATAAAGAGGAAATGATGAAAGATTTAAGAGCTAGTTGTAAGGAAAGTGAAAAGACCAATGAAAAGTATTTTAATAAGACTGGTGTATTAGAAGAAGACCTGGAAAGAGTAGATATGGCAGCTGAATTTAGTGACAGAAGCCAAGGGCTAGATGAAGGGAATCAAGTAGTAATTAATAATTGTGAAATTATAGAGGGCTCTGGAGCTAAACCTGCCCATCACACAGATATTTTGAATCTGCGTCTCCAGACTGATTCTGTATCTAATCTTGAAAATGCCAGCCCTGAGGGATGGGGTTTAGCTAGAAAAGACATAAGGAAAAATTTAATAGACTCTTCTAACCAGGATATAATACATCACTCAGGACAAGGCAGTGCAGATGCTGAAGAGATTCAGCATGAGGCTGTGTTACATACTCCTGGGGTTGACAGGAATGAAAATCAGGCTGTTGTTTTATCAATAAAACATGAAGTGACAGCTCAGTCTAGGACAGATCTTAATTATTCTCTGGGAACTAATGCAAACAGAAGAGATTGGTGTTTGTGTAAGGCAGAAGACTCATTACTAGAGGGGTCTGAAAGTACAGTGACTGGGAACTGTAGCCATACCATTAACTTGCCAACAATTGTAAAAACAGACTCGTGGGCAACAGATCCAGGCCAAATCTGGCAGCCAAGCTTAGATTCAGTAGTGAATAGTATGGGTTTACTAGAATTCCCTAGTATACCAGATGGCCAAGTAAGTGGATTTGCCAGTTGGCTTGATCCTGTTAACCACTGGCCTATCAGAGCTACAGGAGGCTTAGATAATTGCTGGGAACATTTAGATATAGTTGAAGGTGAGAGAGGGCTGGATGTGGACTTAGCAGCAGATGTATGTGGGGAACAAGCCATTGCTAACTGTTGGGAACAAAGCCGAGAGATAGCTAGACCATTGGTTCTGGGCACCTCCCACAATGCTAGCACCGAGAGTTCTGCTAGTCCCCAAGACAATGACATCAGCAACTCAGATTTATCTGAAGATGAAATTGCTAACCAGAGATATGGATTGTTGTACCAAGAAATAGAGCCTGATAAAGAAGAGGTACTTACCCCAGTATGTAGTATAGACTAGCCAAAGACTTCTGTAGGTTCTTTTTTTCCTAATGTTTCCCACCTACTTCATTATCCATCCATCACTATCTTCTCTGAGGCCTGCCTCATCTCCTTGAAATCTGTGCAAACCAAACACAAATAGGTTGACAAAAAAAAATTACAAAACAGAATCTTTGTATTGGGAACTAATGAGTCTATTTTACCATCCCATTTAATGTGTTTATTCTACTTTCATTTTTACTGTTCAAACACTAAAACTATGTAGAACAGACTAATTTACTCTTCCTAAAGTGATTTTATAGAAGTAAGAGCACATGAAATGTTTCTACCCAGGCCCCCCGAAACTATAGCCTCTCCTAATTGCTGTTCATCCAAATGATGTACTAGAGAAATACTGAAAATGCTTCTAGATTCTATCAGTGGCCTAAAAAAGGAGCTATTTAACCCCTCATGGCTTTTCTCTGGAATCATCTTCTCATTATTGAGAAAGTGGGCTTTGGTTAACACTGAGCCACATGCCAGTAGAAATTATTATTTGTAAAAATAATCTTTGTCAGCCTATTTAAAATAATACAGTGGCCTTTTGCATTTCCTAAACACTTTCATGCACAGCAACCTTTTGTATTATTTTAAAACGTGTGGTGGTCTTCACTTTCTAACTTGTCTGATGGACATTTACTGATCCCACAAAAATGATAAAACATAACGTACTTTGATTTCCCTCTCTGTTTAGGCTTCTGGTGGTACATTTAATGGATTCACCCAGGTAAGAGATCGATTCACTGGCACATTCTGTCTGCTGAGAATGATGCAAATTGTTAAAATATGGACCTCATCGTCACGGGAATAGCATAATGTTGAAGCGTGTCGGTGCAAAACTTGACCCTACGACTTTCAAGTTCAGTAATGGAAGCAGTAATAGTGGCAACGTTGTAGGGTGTTGTGAAGAGTCAATGAGACATGCACGCAGAGCACTTTGCCCAGTAGCCCGGCACCTACTAAGGGCTTCCCAGCTGTACTAGCTAGTAATATTGTTAGCCCTGCTGTGGAATTATGCTGATTCCTCTACTGGAAATGAGAAGTTCTCCTGATCTGAGAGATCCACTAGATTCAGCTGTTAGAATAGAGGAGATAGGATTGCTTTGAACCAATGGGATGGGTCTTTAGAAAATAGAAATGGTTTTTAGGAGCCTCCTCATGCAGATTCATATAAGAGCCCTACTACATAGAACCTTACCTCTTCAGTCATTCTTTAGGAAGGAGCTGTTTGAGGATCAGAAACGGTAAATTGGCTCTGATCAATAAGGCAGAATTTCCCTTGGGTGTTGGTGGAAGATGAGCCACAAGGTGGAGTGTCCCATCACTCTGTATGACCCAACAGATGGACAGTTGTAACCCATGTAAGGACAGGCCATGCCACTCTCAAGCCCATGGAGTAAGTTCTGGAAACTTCAAGGGAGACTTCAAACAGAGGCTTGTCTGTGCTGAATGCTTTGTCTCAGAATATTAGAGATGAACAATTTCTAATTTTAGCATTTAGAATTTCTCTATTTAAAAGTTTGACTACTTTCCCCCATGTTACCTGTAAAATGATAAAGTCCGCCCACACCCACATCCAAATACAGGTACACACAAACATGGAGGGAGAAGATAATGCGTCTCTTCAGTCTGCATAGAACTCTTTTGAAAGGTCATGTCATAAGAATACTCATTACTCATTTTTTTAAATGTGTATGTTTATCAGTTATAAATGCACATCATGTAAAGAGTAACAAAATTTTATTAGAGCGTTTTATATAAAAAGTTCAGACTGTCATACACCTCCTCCGTTTTCTGTTTCTTAGAGGTAAATACTTTTACTCCTTTTCCATATTGTCTGATCTCAGTCACGTGTGTGCATGACTTGCTTATAATGCTACTTCTTGGTCTCTAAAGCATTATCTATCGACTCATCTCTCTGGAAGATGCAGACTTAATGTGCCCTCAGACGCGCCCCCCTCAGCTCGCCCTCCCTCTCCTTCCTGCCATTCCTCTTCTATAGTCCCAGGTAGCCATCCATCCAATCTGTGGTAATAGCAAAATGGTATCAATACTGTCGGTGCCCCCACCATGAAGTTTACCTTTAGTTTTATGCTGACTTTCTGTTCTCTTTTGAGGAAATAATTGCAGGGTCTTATTTGTTTGCTTGTTGGTTCGTTTGCTTAGTGTTTTAGGGACTTATTGCTAATTCAGTCCCATACTCTGTAGTTAGTTATATAAATCTCCCCTCGTTTTGTTGGAAAATATTAAGCATTTGGTCAGTTTCATCTTCCTGAAGAATTTGCTTGTCTCTCTTGGACTGCTGTGTCTGAACTGGGCTCTCTCTGGCGACACCTGCTGTCACAGCTGTTCCCACAGGCCTGTCCTAGGCATTGTCTTCACCTCTCCCTTTTTTTTTAAAGTTTTTTTTTTATTTATTTGATAGAGAGAGACACAGCGAGAGAGGGAACACAAGCAGAGGGAGTGGGAGAGGGAGAAGCAGCCTTCCCGCGGAGCAGGGAGCCCGATGTGGGGCTCGATCCCAGGACCCTGGGATCATGACCTGAGCCGAAGGCAGACGCTGAACAACTGAGCCACCCAGGTGCCCCGCCTTCACCTCTCTTCTTACGTCAATCCATTCTTTTCTGGACACGAATCTTCCTCATTTGTGGTTTAATTCCACATATTAAAACACATCTTCATCCATAAATTAAAGCATATTCTCTAGTAGCTTCCTAAGAAAAGTATGCATGAGTAGTATATATTTGTGACCTTGTACATCTGAAAATGTCTTTATATACATAATGATCTGTTAGATTGGATATAATGTTAGAAAATAATTTTTCCTGGGGTGCCTGGGTGGCTCAGATGGTTAAGCATCTGCCTTCGGCTCAGGTCATGATCCCAGGGTCATGGGATTGAGCCCCACATGGGGCTCCTGGCTCAGCGAGGAGCCTGCTTCTCCCTCTGCCTCTCTCCCTGCTCATGCTTTCTCTCTCTCTATCTCTGTGTCTCAAATGAATAAATAAAATCTTTAAAAAAAAGAAAAAAAATAATTTTTCCCTTAGATTTTGAAGCCATTGCTCCATCCATTTCTACCTCCTAATGTTGCCACTGAGAGACTATTGTTTTGATTCTTTTTAAAAAATTAATCTTAGTTTTAATAAAATTAAGATATGAAAACTCCATGTTAATTTTTAGAATAAACAATTTTCCAACAAAAATATTCCACAAACAATAATTTTTACTTCATTTGACTCTTATAGCAGGATTATAGAGTCTTTTTTCCAAAAATAGATTTTGAATTAATATTTGAGCGTTTTGTTGGTTTTTTTCCAAAGGCCTTTCTTAATCTTGAATATAATTATTTAAATAGTATTCTCTGGGTGTCTGCGTGGCACACTCGGTTAAGCATCTGAGTCTTGGTTTCTGCTCAGGTCGTGATCTCTGGGTCATGAGATCCAGCCCCTCGTCAGGCTCTGTATTCAGCACAGAGTCTGCTTAGGGTTACTCTCTCCTTCTCCTCTGCTACTCCCCCCCACCCCTTGCACTCACACTCTCTCAAATAAATAAATTAATTTAAAAATAAATATAAATAAAATAAATAGTATTCTCATTCCAAGTATCTGTTAGGTCATTATCCTTGTTGGTTCTTCTTTTCATTTGTTAGCTGGTCTTTAATTGAGCATAACCATTAATTTTCAATGGCTTTGTGTAATACTATAATGGTTCTCCAACATCACTTAGATCTACTACTAGAAATTCTCTATCTTATATCAAAATTTTAATTTCAATTTGCAGGCAATTTGTATTTGTATAGAGACTGAAGTATTAAAAATTACTGGGAAATGATAGGTATTAGCCTTTTCTTAAGTTTTTATTTTAATTCCAATATAATAAACCTACAATCTTATGTTAGTTTCAGGTAAATTGATAAAGAGGTGCTATATATACAATGGAATACTACTCATTGTTTTCCTTGCTTTTTCCTTTTCTTAGTCATCTTTCTCTGCTTACCAGCTTTTTCAACAGATTTTTCACTACTATTTTTTTTTAATTTCCAAGAGCTGTTTTTGTTTACTGAATATTTGTTTTTTAATAGCATCCTCTTCTTATGTCATGAATACAACACTTCCGTTACATTCTCTGGAAGTATTAATAATCATGGTCATTGGGGCGCCTGGGTGGCTCAGTTGGTGAAGCATCTGCCTTCGGCTCAGATCATTATCCCAGGGTCCTGGGATCGAGCCCTGAGTTGGGCTCCCTGCCCAGCAGGGGAGTCTGCTTCTCCCTCTCCCTCTACCCCTCCCCCCTGCTCATGCTTTCTTTCTCTCTCACACTCTTTGTCTCTCTCTCAAATAAAATCTTTGAAAAAAAAAATAACCATGGCCATTTTTGAAGGTCTTTTTCCACGTAGAAAGTCTTTGTTTCTTCTACTTCCCACTTTTTAAAAAAAAAAACTATTCAGCTTTTCCCTTTAATATTTGAGACTTTCCCTAAATGCCTGGTAATCTTGGCTGTCTACTCATGTTTATGTCCACTTAAAAGCTGATGGGAAACTTGTATAGGTAAGTAGAGCTCATGACTATAGGTATTGTTCTGGAATTTTCTGGTTCATTTTTCCTATTGAGGAGCCCCTGGTATGAAATTCTATAGGGATTTTTCTTGGGCTGGTTAAATTTCTAGCTCTTCTGGTCTCCTGTCTGGTGGGTATAATGGGAAATGGATGGGAAAGAAGTTGGGGGTTGGAGGGGAGGGGCCCCGGGCTCTCAGTATTTATTATGTAAATGCTCACTTAAGCCTGCTACTTTCCTAATATGCCTCTGTGTTCCCCAGTCCAGAGGCCCTCTGTTTCAGCCTCTGTGGAAGTAATGTCAAGTCTTGTGCTGTGATGAATGGATATAGCTTGGTTTTTGGATACATGAAAGAATCTTGAGGTCCATTTACTTTTTCAAAGACTGCCAGCCAATTCCCCCTCTTTAGCACCACCCAGCTTCCATTTCCCTTGGTCCCCATATTTCTAATTCTTGATCCTTTGGGATGTGTTGTGTTTTTGGCATTTCTTACATCACCTTAGGATACAGACTTTTGGGGAGGGGGTCCACCAAGTTACTTCTTCTTTCGTCTGCTTTTCAGTTTCAAAAATGTTATTGCTCTTATCTTTCTTCTCATTCCTTTTATGCTCATGGATTTATGCCTTTTTAAATTTGCTTTATGAAATTCCCTTTATTGTTTAGTTTGGATTCTGGAGGTAACAGATAATTGCCTCAAAACATCTTTAACCAACTGTCATTGCCTCATCTTTTCTGTTGGGGAGCCCTGATATCAAATTCTGTGGGTACTTTTTTTTTTTTTTGTCTTCAACTGGTCAGATTAACCAGGAGAGACTCTTCTGGTCTTCTCTCTGGTGGGTATAAGCCTCGCTACTAGCATAACGAGAGATGAATATTGTCTTCAAGGTCACTGTTCCCTTAGATTTATTCCGGCTTGATTTTTTTTTAGGCCATTGAATACATGTTATAACATTTTTAAGTTATGGCTCATTATTAACCCATATAGAAGTCACACCTATGTGATAGAGTAAGATTGAATTTCTAACATTTAAAAAGTGTGAATTTGTAGTTTAGAGCCACTAAATTCCAATTCAGTTTAGATGTCCAGAAGAGAAGCTGCAGAACAAAAATGACCCTTTTTTAAAAATGACTCTGGGCGCCTGGGTGGCTCAGTCGTTAGGCGTCTGCCTTCGGCTCAGGTCATGATCCCAGGGTCCTGGGATTGAGTCCCGCATCGGGCTCCCTGCTCGGCGGGAGGCCTGCTTCTCCCTCTCCCACTCCTCCTGCTTGTGTTTCTGCTCTCACTGTCTCTCTCTGTCAAATAAATAAATAAAATCTTTAAAAAAATAAATAAATAAAATGACTCTTACTGTACTATTGTGTGGTATCATGCTAGCCCACAGTTAGGTTTAGAACATCTACTGTTAAAATTACTTTTGTATTATCTGCTTTTCTGATTTAAAGTAAAAGACTTTTAAAAACTTTATAATGTATTTATACAATTGATAGAAGCTAATTGAAATGGTATCTTTTTTGTTCTTTTTAGCAAATTAAGCTGGAACCTTCATAATTTTTCATTTTCTGTTTTCTCCCCAATTTTCAGCCCCAGGACACTTCATTATTCACAATGCAGACAGACCAGAGCATGATCTGTAACTTGGTAAGTTGACTTTGGTGTGTGTTTTGGGGGCATTGTTAGTTACTGCTGAACATTCTAGGGTCGATCATTCTAGATTATCGAGAGCTTGAATATCCAGAATGTGGTTTCTGCAGCCCTTTCTTTTCTAGAAAAGAGGAAGGAAAACTTCTGAAAAATCTCGCTGTGACTTTGATTTTGGTTGCTTCTGTTTATAAAGGCACAGTGATCCCAGCAAAAAACAAAAGTCTCCTAGTTTTGGGCTTCAGTGGAGCCCCGTAAGTCCATCAACGGCATGGATGTTTCCGCCTGAGTGTAACTTACTCCACAGGATTGGAAATGAAATCGCCTCAAGAATTCATGCTTCGGGATAGATCCCTTGCTTCTACAGCCTGAAGCTACCTCATTTCTCATCTCCTCCCTCCATTGTGTGAGTTGTCGAAAGAAGTCACCCGTAATAGAGATGTGATTCCCCTGTTGCTGCCAAAGGACATGAGGACAAAGCTTAGCTAGGGAGTGAGTAGGAGCCGACAGAATTACTCTTGATGTAAGAGGAGATTCTGACACGATCGTTGTTGCAGTTATCGTGGGAAACCTTTGCTGCGGTAGCTTACTAGGGAAGTTGAAGGAAGAGGCCTTGGGTGATGTCACTTGTGAGCTTGGTGGCTGTAGGCTACACGGGACGGGGCGTTCATAAGCGTTATTCGTAGTCATTGGCTTTCCCCTAGGAATGGGATATAATTATCCCAGCTCCTGGCTTTCACATTGGAAGCTTAGAATTAGATTTCAGTAGAAGAAATTTTTTTTTTTAAGATGATTTCACTTCTAAGTAAGAAATTCTGTTCTGGAAAGTTTGTCTTAAAGGTTACTTTGATAATTTCTCAAAGGCCAGTATGTCTGTAGTACCTTGTTGATCGATTGTCATACTTTGGCCTTTTGGGCAACCGGGTGAGAAGTGGAGTCTATGTGGCCTGCAAGTAAAGATTTAAATGTTTAAAGTACAAATTATGTTGGTGTTGATAATGGAACCAGAGGGACTTATTTGTCATGTTTCATTGGTGATTTTCAGCCTGGGTGGTGGAGTAAGGGTTATACCAACACTGGAGGATGAGATTTTTAATTATCAGTTGTGAATGGGTCAAGAGAAAAATGGAGACATACTGGTATAAAAAGAAAGGCAGTGGATCATAATTAAACTCACACCTATTACTTTGATGCAAAAATCCAGGCATAGAATCCAGTGGTTTTTAAGTTTCTTAAACCATCTTCCTACTGCCCACAGCTCCTTGTGGGAAGTTCCATTGGCTGCCCTTCCCTTCTGTGGATATGTGTTCTCTGAAGCAGACATTTTGCACCTTCTTTCTATTGTGGAACTTGGCTTTGTCATGCCCAGCATTGCAGATGCTGCTAATATTAGCTAAGCCATTCGAGGAACTAGGAAATCATAGCGAAACCACGTCTCCCACTGTGTTATGATTCTATAGGATCATCCCAGGAGCAGGACAGTTTCCCAACATTTGGTTCACTGACTGAGCAAGGTGAAGGCTGAAGCTGGTAGTTGACTGCACATGTCCTTAGTCTGCATTTTTATGGCCCCACAGGACATCCCTTGAGTATAAGTTTAAACTCTGCAAACCTTGTTCAGGGCTCAGTTACCTCGATGGCCCTTTGCAGTTCTCACTAAATTAGCTCTCCCAACTTTGGAAAAGCAGGACTCTAAGGCAAGTGCCATCCTGGAATGTGACTAGACTCTTATGCCCACTCCCAACCTATGTCCTTCGTGGGCAATGACCTGCTTTCCATCTTATGACAGAGGATACTGGAAAATGTGCAGTGAGACTCCACTTCTCATTTTGTTCTAAAGGAAGAATTCCATTTCTGTGTCTCAGCGTTAAACCATTGTGACATCCCACTGCCTCCAATAAATTTAGAGTATACTTTTCCTTGGTGTGATGATCGCCACCCCAGCAAACAATAGGAAATGATCACCAGCGCTCCCCAATGGGGATGGCATGCCATCAACCCATTTGCAAGGTCTCTTCAGAGAGGCATCTTGTAGAAAAAATGTGGGTAGAAGCAGGGCATAATTCTTTTTTTTTAAATTTTTTTTATTATTGTTATGTTAATCACCATACATTACATCCTTAGTTTTTGATGTAGTGTTCCATGATTCATTGTTTGTGCATAACACCCAGTGCTCTACGCAGAATGTGCCCTCTTTAATACCCATTACCAGGCTAACCCATCCTCCCACCCCCCTCCCCTCTAGAACCCTCAGTTTATTTTTCAGGGTCCATTGTCTCTCATGGTTCGTCTCCCCCTCCGATTTCCCCCCCTTCATTCTTCCCCTCCCTCTATCTTCTTTTTTTTTTTAACACATACTGTATTATTTGTTTCAGAGGTTTAATTCTGACAGGACTATCTTAGATTTTTCCATGAGATGTGGTTCACAATTTACCTTTGCTTTTCTTCTATCTTGACAATATATTTACAATTTTACATTATCTTAGAAGGAATCGAAGGGTGACTTCTATTTCTAATTTGGAGTAGTTGATTTTATGTGCAATCATGCTATCATGTTTGATCCTTACTCATCATTGAGTGAGTTATATTTGTCCCCTAGAATTTAAGTTGTTTAATTGCATAGCTATATGGTAATATCTACTGTGATATGCTAATATAGGGGAAATGTGGTGACTTGTGGGGACATAACCAATCCTACATTCTTTTCTATTATGCTTCTGTTGCATTGTCTGATTTCAGCAAGCAAATGCAATTCAGCTCCTATGCAAAATCACTTACTTATTGTTGCCTTACATAAAACTTGAAAATTTCTTTGGACTTCCAGGAAATCCAGGCTCTGATACAGATATTTTTTCATTTTAAGTTATCTTTTTTTTTATGTCCAATGATGTATTTATTTGACTCCTATTTTGAAACTTCTCTTGGCTCCTTATCTGGCTTTAGGCTTTCTCCTTAGACACTCAGCGCACAGGGGGACAGCCCTCTGCATATGGATTTCTTGGTGCTTTGTCAAATTACCCTTCCTATCCTTGTTGTGTAGGTCATTTGATACCATCCTCTCATAGCAAATCACCTTGACTTCCAAACTGTAAGGTCATATCCTGAGAGCTTACAGTATCTCTTTGCTGCTCTTGAAACCATGTTCCATTCTGAAGATAATTCTTGTTGAACAATAAAAGTGAAATCTTTTCCCATAAAAACTCCTGAAAGTATATTAGAGCGAATTTTGTCTCATTCTTTCTAAAAAATTGTGTCAGATCACCCCTTAAAAGTTATAAAAGCCCATAAAAATATCAAATCTCTGCACACTTATCTACCAGAGTGTCCTTTCTTTTTTTATTATGCTCTTGTAAAGGGAAGGGCGGTGTGGGATCAAGGCATGAATCACAATGGAGGGTTTGGTGGGGGGCACAAGAGAAACATTTTGCATATTTATCCAACACTAAGCTATTTGTTACTCATTTCCTCTAATCTCAGTCGCACTTCCCCATCCCTTCTGTATGGAACTTGCCATGTGCACCAACCTCCGTGAGCAGGTATAAGAGAGAGCTAGAGGAGGCTCTTCATTGCTTCTGGTGAGAGTCTGACAGAAGTGAACTGATTTCTCCAATCACAGTATTTATTGGAGACTTCTTACTCCTCTAGGAAAACGTTTTTCAACTTTCTTACAGTTTGAATGTCCTGATGGGCAAGAACCTTAATGTGCTTTCTCATGGCCATCTATTTAGTGAAGTAATGCTGCTAAATAAATGTGCTTATGTTAGTCAAAATTTAAAAAGAGGAAACATTTTCAGTAGCTGTGGTGACTCTGTTGGCTGTGGTGGTTTTAATGGCCTGTTGTGACATAATAGCACTAATTTTAAAACGAACAAAGTCCGCAGCTAGGAGTCCAGAGGTTGATTCAGCATATAATTGGAAGATGTCTATGAGTAAAGGTCACAGTGGGATGGAAAGACGTCACTCTTGTCCACACAATTAGAAGTGCCTAATTGGTACCAGAGAGAATACGACCCTGTGGTTCTTTATGGAATTAGCGTATTATAGGAAAAGAAATGGATTGCTAAGAATTTGTTGGGGGCAGGGGAGAAATGGAATAAGAAGCTGAACAGGAAAGTATCTGTGATTGTGGTGGCTACTTGCCACCTCCCAGCCAGAGCAGTGGCAACAATGGCTTTGTAACAACCTACTCATGCCGATGAATGCATTTTGATCTGAATATTGGGATGGCCCCTCAATTTTGGATGCAGTGCATATCAACAGAACTGGGAGGTCCCCAAACCACGTGCCTCTGAGCTCTTCCTCTTTCAACTGGCAGAAGTGGGGAGCTCGTAGGATCTCCTCTCTCTTTGCCAAATAGCAGAGAGTGCCACTTTAGGATCTCTTATAGATGTCATCAAGTTGCAAGTAAGTACAATGAGTAACCAAAATGGTAAGTCTTTGTCTAACTTCAAGGGAAACGGCAGTGCGTGGTGATGCGAAAGAGAGGCTTAATAAGAGTCCATGTCTAGACTTTTCAGTGAAGGGCTCATGATGCCAAATGTGGGGCTTTTTTCCAGCACAGATTTAATGAAGCTAGTTGCCTATAGGATGATGAAGAAAGTCTTAATTGCCTAATATTCTGTGATGTTATCTGTTCACGTGTTGAATCTTTTTCCTCTAACGCTCAAAACAAACAATCAAAGCCTGAGTCTGAACAGGCTCCACCCACAGAGCCGAAAGCAGAGGAGCCCCCTGTCGCTGCCGCACTTGCTGTTGGGCTGGACTCTGGACTGGACACCCAGGCTGAGGAGCCAGTGGAAGGGGCAGTGGTGAGCGCCACCCCCCTCTCACCCTCCCCTGCTTCCCCTGCCACAGCCCTGCTCATCTCATGATCTCATTTCTCCCTTCTCATCTATGTTCCACTTGGGCCAAATCACCTCCTCATCTGCCATGGCTCCCCAGATTCAAATAGTCCTTGTGCCTTTGACAGTGAAACTTCATTCTCTTTTATGTTTTTAAGAGGAAGATATCCAGAGACCTGATCTTACGAACTAGAGAGAAATGTCACATAGCCACAGGCTTGGTTCTCAAAAAAGGATGCCTCCATTCTCTTCTGAGATGCTCTCATTCATGGTAGATAGTTGTAGAACTCACAAATGGCCAGCCTTGTTAGTGCTGTGCTCTACCTGTGATGGGTAGAGATGTGCCTCCAGTGAGGGACCAACCTGCAGGTGATGAACAGAAGGATCATAACTTTGTTGCTTGTGTCTACATATTGATTTCTTACAATACTAGTTTTGTAGGTTGGTTAAGTCCTGACAAGGGATTAAAATCCCATATTAAAAATCCTTGAATCTATAAAGGTTCCTGTGTGTTGTATAACCATTTCTTCAATATCATGTCTGATACTGGCTCTTACAAAAAGAGGGACCTTGAGGATGTAGAGGGTGGGAACCCTTTGTCTGCTTGGAAACCGGCTCTTACCCTGTTCCATACAGCCACATACCACACCACATCACACACAAACTGGGATGAGCTCTATGTGCACCATGTTGAATTGGATAGTGTAACACTCAGGAAACTGTAGGATAATACTAAGGAAACTTAAATTCAAAATACTAATGAGGAGGGGCGCCTGGGTGGGCATCTGACTCTTGATCTCAGCTCACGTCTTGATCTCAGGGTCGTGAGTTTAAGCCCCATGTTGGGCTCCACGCTGGGCATGGAGCCTACTTAAAAAAAAAAATAACTAATGGAGAGTGAAAAATAGTTTGTTGACGAAATACAGTTAAAATATCTCCCAAGAATCTCAATCAGATTATCATTTCCTACAGCCTTTATAGAATCTGTACAGAGATGAAAACCAGTCTCCCTCTCCCTCAAAACAACATTGACTAGATTAGGTAACTAGAGAAATATAAGTTATATTTTGCTATTATTTGTTGTTATTTTACTGGGAAGAGGGTAGGTCAACTGTCAAATCTGTAGTTTATTAATAGAGTAGAAAAATAAATAGTAGGGCAAGATAGTGATGGGAAATACAGATTAAGAATAACTCAAGCAAAATGATCATGTTTTCCATTCAAAGATACAGAGATAAAGATACCAAGTGCTGTAGGGAAAATAAGAAATGTGGTGTTCTAGTTTAAGTCCCTCTTGGAAGTGCTGCTTGCACAGACTGTAGATTGGGGAGTGCTGAGGCTCCAGGCTCCAGCGTCCACTTTTTCTCCCAGATTCACTAGTGATCTCCATATCTCAGTACAGAGGGAACCCTTTCGTTTGGTGTCCGATTGTGATCTGTCCTCCAACTTAGCTTTAAGATTATTTAATAACAAAGGAAGGGAAAGATACTGTTGATTTTGTTTTACTACTGTTATAATTAACAAAGAGATGTGATTTTTCAAAGAATATGGATGATACCAGGGAGTTAGAAAGATATTGATGAGGTTTAGATGTTGATTTAGAAATTGCTTCGCTTCCAAAAAGTTCTTACCAGTTTCTATTTTGAAAAGTAGCCCAGACTTCATCTTCACCAGTGCTTTTAAACCACATTGGTTCCATGGCCCAGACTACTCAGTGTAAGGCTTAATGCCAAAACACCCATGGTTTTGAGCAAAGCTGTTTGATGTTGTGCAGTAGCTAGGAAGTGTGAAATAGACAAGCTCATGTGTTAAATATGGGCTGGAATGTTGATTGTCCATGATCACCTCTCCGAGGGCCCTGGCTTCGTACCTCGTGCACCTACCCTTATTATAACAGACGTATAGAAGTAGGTTTTTGTTTTTTCAGACTCCAAATTCATTGGTTTTCCAGTAAACGATATAAATAGCTACCAGTCATTTAAGTAGCTACTATATCGTACCTACTATAAAGATTTAGAATCTTTTTAACCAAGGGTGATTTTAAAAACATTTAACGAAGTGTACAGTACAGAGGCACCTGGGTGGCTCAGTTGGTTAAGCACCTGCCTTTGGCTTAGGTCATTGATTCCATTTTCCTGTAGAGAGTCATACTCTAATTTTTTCTAAATTTCTGTCAGCTCCTGTATTTTGACGTGAACTGGACCAAAGCATGTTTTGTTTTGGGTTGTTTTTTTCTTTTTTTTGGCCTGTTGTTTTTAAAGAAATACACTGCAATTCAATTTAGGGTTATCATCATTTCTAAAACATAAATGGGAAAAAGATCAAGATAAAGATGTTTTTAGAATTGGTGGAGAGTCCTGGAAGATGAAACACTGGCCTATTATTTTGGGGACTACTTTTGTGTTCGCTGCGTTTGATTTTTTGAAAACATCACCAGACTTAAGCTGACTTGTCAAGACCACTTCCAACCACCAAATATATATGTATATATGCCAGACCACAGTCTATGAACTTTATCGTGCCAGAAAGATTTCTGTCGGCTTGAATCGAAGGCATGTGCTCGTTTCTTCCTTCATTCAGTTGACAAGTATAATTTGAGTTCTCTCTAGATGTCAGGCTTTGTTCCAATCTAGGGGAGACAGTGATGCAGGCAGTAGGCACGGCTCCTGCCACCCTTGTTCACAAACACTGGTGGTGGAGGAGGCCAAGACTGCACAGCCGTCGGGATTTCCTTGGGGATGGTCATGTGCGTGGGAAAGAGCATTTGAGTTTTCTCCTCGTGCGGAGTAAACACGAGAGCAGGGCTCCCACTGTGCCTCCAGGTATGAGCCCCCAATAGGTCAGAAGAAGACCTAAGATCACAGGAAGCCAGAGGAGCTTGATTTTTTGTCTGCCCTTCATGGTCATAGAATTATGTGCACACTCAAAGTGCTCACTCTGAAGCATGCTGTAAATTAAATTAAATATACATATGCCTTGGAAATGATGTACCTTACTATCTCCCTCAGGAAAAACAAAGCCCCTTCTTGAACAGGCCTGGGTGAGGGTTGTGCACTATTATCGTTTGTTCTAAGTATGATACTTAGAGGTGAATATCAGGTTTCAGGTGGTTCTTCTATTGTTGAGGAGCTCTTTGTAGATGATGGGTGCCTAGTGATTTTTTAAGTGTTAGTCTTGATGTGTGCTTTTTTAAAAAATGAGGTGAAATTCACATAATACAAAATTAATCCATTTAAAGTGAACAGTTTGGTTTTAGTATATTCATAATGTTGTACAACTGTTAACCTCTGTCTGGTTCCAAAACATCGTCATTACCGCAAACCTCCTACCCATTAAGCAGTTACTCCATCCCCTCCCCCAGCCCCTGGTAACTGCCGATATGCTTTCTGGGTCCAAGTCCCAAGTGGCTCAGATGCTTTCTTTGAGACTTACTTTGTGTGGCCCGAAGGGAAAGGTGGTCTGACTGGAACCGCAGGAGAGCAAGGTTCGTATAAATGGAATCATACAATGAGTGACGTTTTGTCTGTCTTGGTGTAAACTTTTTGTCACATAGGAAATCTTGTGTTTTGGCTTGACATTTTTAACAGGGCTTTGGTTGTAATTAACTGGGATAAAAAAAAAAAAAAACCCTCCCCTATTCTCTCTTCTTAGTGTGTGTTGGTCCAATTCACAAGCCCACGCGGAAACCATTCCTAGCCATCAGCACACTTGTACAGCCTGTGTAAGACCAGACCCATTCAAATTTTTGACAGTAATGCCCACCTCCCCTCCCCCTGCAAACATCAATCCCTGTCCCTCCCCATACATCAGAGTTAGACGTGGCAGAGACGTGGCAGAGCCTTAGAGACGACTTCTGCTGGCTCATCCCTCTCACTCCATGGGTGACAGCGTGGAGATTTATCTAGTCCGTGGATAATGTGGAGCTGAACAACCAGACCAGCGTGTGTTCCCATTCTGTGTCTGCTTCTTGCCCTTTCTTGTTCAGTCTATCCTCCCAGCTCCCCCCAGGGCAGAAGGGCCCCTTACATGGACCACTCCTCATGAGTGGACACGATTTGGAACCAAACGTATGATCAGGAAAAAATGTTCTTTTTGAGATCACAGAAATTTTCTCTGACAAATTGCCTTCTGTTCTCGTAAGTCCCAAGTGGCTCAGATGCTTTCTTTGAGACTTACTTTGTGTGGTCCGAAAGGAAAGGAGGTCTGACTGGAACAGCAGGAGAGCAAGGTTAAAGTACACAGGGGTCATATTGTAATCGTAGACAGCACTGAGTGCTGATGTTTGACGTGTTCTCTCACAGCAGCCCTGGGAAATTGTTGCCCCATTTTACAGGCTAAGGAAACGGACACACAGAGTTTAAGTGATTTAACCAAGAACACACCCAGAAAGTGGTAACATGAAATTCAAATCCTGGCAACTTAATCCATAGACAACCGTCTCTTGACTACACCAGATGCTATGTTTTATTAAAAGGGCAGGCTTTCCAGAAGTATATTTATAGACCAGTTTACTAAAGCCGTCGGGGTCACAGCTAGGCTGAAATCTGTCCATGCTGACATCAGCACATCCTACAACCAATATTTAGATCCAGTGGAAGTCCCTGGTTTGTAGCTGAAGGGGCAAAATGAAAGCAGAAATGCTTGCGCAGCCTTAGCCTTGAGCTTCTCAGAAGGAACGTGTGTTCTAATCCCCTACTTTGGATGTAAAGCAAGTATCAAAGAGGATGTAAAAGAAAGACCCCTGAATTGAGAGTCTGGAGCATTGTTTCCATGGTTAACCAGTGAGGTGGCCCTGGAGAAATCATTTCACCCCTCTCTGCCAGTTTTCACCCCTCTAAGAGTGCTGTACCTGTTAAACTCTATGTTCTCTTCCTGTGTTCAAAAATCTACAACTTATTACATTAAAAAATTAAGGATTTCCAAATCCCTTGTGATATTTGCTAGGCAATTGGCATGACAGATCATCT